AAGTTTTGTCCTCTAGGATCCTCACAATACCAAAAAAGGGTTAAAAAAGTTATGCAAGATGCAGGAAACTCAAAATTGGGGTAGGTGAGAACTTCCCGAAATGGTAAGATGGGATGAATATCCAAGGGGGTTTTTGCAATTCATCAAAATTTAAATTTCCCCGACAAATAGGTCAAGAGGGAAACAAAAACACATTTAAGTGTTTTTATGCGTCAACCAAGGTTTTGGCGCGTAGCTTACAGAGTAATGCTGAAGGAATACACTAATTATTCAAAGGGCCCGGGAGACCCTTTAAGGGCACCAAATACCACAATTGGAAATGACAGCACTTTTGTAGGTACAAAAATTAGCTGTCTTTTCAACAAGACTTGATACTCACTATTTAAAAAACCGTGATCTGGATGATAAGAAGCTTCCCATGGTTAAGAAATAATAAGATAATTGGTCTAGTACAGAAAAGGGGGTAGCAGAAATAAAGGATGCAGAGGATTACTCTTTTCCAGTCTCACCCCCAAAAATCCAGTGACATTTTCCGGTGTCCCACTCAAGAAATTTGTGGATAATAAATTATGGCCCCCGGCGAACGGGGTCTCTAAAAAAAATAATGGGCCTCAGCAAAAGCTACATTTTGCCAAAGAAACGTTTGCTTGAACACGCAAAATGTTGTTAAATTCTTCATATAAAAAAGCCATCATCCAATATTTATCCCCAAGAACATTGGCTAACAAAAAATGATTTTTCAAAACGCCCCCAGTAACGGTTAAATGGTGGGGTAGCTGACACACTTTTTATATCGACTTTCCCATGGATACTCAAGGGCGACAAAATGTAAAAAACCCAAAAAAGGACCGATTACTTGTCACTTAAAGATATCGAGTATGCCGATCCGGTCCACCCCCATATCCCTCTGAAAAAGTTTTTCATATCATCCCCTTGAGGTGGACAGGTGTGATTCGCTGGGGCCAATATTTTTAAACCAAAAAAATTTACAAAGTTCCCCCTCAAAGGGGTAAATCTGTTTGTTCACTTGTCACAAAATAGAGCAGTACATCTAGAAGTAGCCCTGACTGTCTCGAAACCTTTATCAAAATTATTCAAAGGGTTTTTAGCCAGAAGGGCAGCCCAGACTGATGATTTAGATAATGCAAAGAACTTTTTTGCTGGTGTGGTTTATAAGCAAAATCTTTGATCAACCCGAAATACACAATGGAATCAACGCAGGGTGTCGTTGGGGATCATTCCTCCTAAAACCCATGGCATGGCGGATTTTATGAAAGAAAGAAAAGGCCATTGAAAAAAGTTGTTAAGGAAGATTTTTCACGAGAGAAACGACTTAGAAGAATTCCTACAGTTTTGATGAAAAAGAAATAGAGTCAATAAAAGACCTCTAATTTTTGTTACCGTGATTGGGCATTTGAGTATTTAATCCATCTCATTTACTCCATGGGAGAAGGCTCGAACCTGTTCCTCCCAGAATAAAAAAGAAAACTTTGAGGATCCTTTTTATTCGAACCTGAGCAAAACAAGTAAATTCCAAAACCCCTTAAAAAAGTGATTGAACTCGGGGAAAAATTTTGGCGAAAGACTATCTCACCTCATTGAGAAAACATTTCTATGGAGCTGGGGTTTTCCGAAAATCATAAGTCTTTAATTAAGGGGCCGGGGGGGACTTAGTGATTATTGCAATGTGGGGCCCAGGTTTTCCCATGGCCCCTTTTGGAAAAAATTTTGCCTAATCCGAGCAAATGGGAAATCCCGGAATTGATGTTTTGGCAAGGGTGTGAATAAGCGGACAATAAAAAAACAGTACCTTAGAATTTTCACATGTTGAAAACAAAATTAGTGATTTTCCAGAAACCCACGACTAAAGCTGTTCGAAAAGACAAGCAGGTGGGGGGAGGAGAAATCAAATTAATGTTAAGTGATGAATTTCACCTGCAGCGAACCCCGCCCCCCCCCATGGGGACAAATTTTCTCCAGGGGGGAGGATCACCCCCTTTAGCCGCTTTTCGCCCCCTTTGCCCCTTTTGCCCGAGGGGCCCAGCCCTCTAGAAAGGGGGAATATCTTGTTTACTGACAGTGAGAATTTTAAAACAGATGCGACGGTATGGATGTGTTCGCTTCGACCGACGCTCCCTTTCAACTCCCGGTTGCAAAGTGTATTTTAATAAGAGACAGCATCTCTTACCTTTGCAGGCAAATTAGGAAAACCTGCTCCCCCCTTTATTACCATAGTAAAAATAGTGGACATTGTTGTTATGTTAAAAAGCCCAAAATCAAACATTTGCTTTGCTTTATCGAGAAGTGGGAAAGGGAAGCAAAAGTACTATGTCAGCTTTTTCCTTTGTGCAAGGGGCAGTAACGGCGTGGGGTGCTGTGGCATCTTCAGATTACTTTTGACTCTACTGAGAGTGACACTGAAGCTAGGATAACCAACAAAGAACGATCTGTGTGTTAGTGTGAACAAAGTGTCTCATAAAACACAATAAACACTTAAGAGAAGTGTGATCAGCTTCTTTAGTGATAAGATTGTGAACAATAAAGACAAATCTTGTGGAACATAGTGTACCAGTGTGTGTATTCCTAGACTATGGAAGACGTGGACATCCAAGGACACTTCAGCTTCTATCAAGTCACCAATACCTGTCGAAGGTGTGAAGAACACCATAGCTCACGCTACAAGAGCAAGGTAGGTTACGAATTTCTTGTAGTATGGGGGACTGCGCAGTTCTTGAGTCGCAAGGAGTTTGTAATCAACCTATAGTCGGCAGTAAGGGGCGGACTTTTGAGTCCACACAAGTAAGTTTGTCAGCCATCAGTGAATGAAATATGCTGACATAACACCCCCTAGTGGTAATTTATAATCTTACAAATTATAACTCATTTCAGCCCATTGAGGAATGACTTCGACAGCTTCTCAAGACCTCATCTGCAGGGGCGGCTGTTCAGGCGATGAGTTGTCTTTCTAAGTTAAGTTTTCCCTATATTTAAACTTAGCTGGTAATCCCATTTCTCAACAAAGTCTAGGCTATGTTCCGTGAACAGAGTTCCACAGAAACAACAACAAGAAAGCGACAGAGACGATCTGCTCACAAGGTAGAGCTGGTGTGGGACACCTTGCTAGAAGCATGTCCAACCGACAATAGAGCGAGTAGCCCATACCGACTACTCCAGGCGAGGTGTGATCACCCCCCCCCCCATCACATGATTGCTCCATGGACTGCTGCTGCCCAGCAACACCGAGAAGCCGGCAGTGTTACCAGCAACAAGCAGAGCCATAATTACAGTAGTTAGACAATCAACACTCGATCTATGAGCACTGAATAATAATAATATATAAATGTTACATCCTACCTAATAATATAACTAAGTCAAATAATAATATAAAGCAATATATTTACGATTTAGCTATTATCACAAATATAAGCAATATAAAATTATATGAAAACGTAATATACATTATATACATTGTGACCCATTCAGGGGTAGCAATACCAGCACAGCCTCAGTCGCTGTAGTACTGGAGCCCCCCTTTCCTGGGGTCACAGGGAATTGAGCCGGTATCCTGCCTCCTGGAGTCCTGTACAGGCCAATACCCTCCTTGATAACCCTTCTCATAGACACAAATTTGTCTATGTAATCTCCTCCTACCAAGATTCCTACATTACTGACATTGTCTGTAGCGATGTCTGGCTCCGCCAGCTTCACACCCAACTCCCTCAAACACTTGACTGCTGCAGCTAGTCCCTTGGTGGTAATGATATTGGGCAGCCTCTTCACTATCAAGGCTGAAATTTTCCATCAATGCCCGGCTAATCTGACCGTCACATTGACAACCGGATAAGACCTGCATGGGACCTGCCCCCCAAACCCTTCCACCTTCATGTCAACCTTACCATCTGTCTTCAACTTCAACTTAGTTGCTAGACTCTCTGTTATAAAGGATCTTTGTGCCCCAGTGTCTAAGAACAAACGGGTCAGTTCAGACTTCTTCCCATTCATAACCACCACCATTACAGTGGGCAAGGCCACCGAACCTTGAAACTGCTCACCAAACAAATCCCCGATGCCGCACTCACCACTACTTCAGGCTTGTTCTTACTCTCTGCCCTTTCCTGCAGTTTGCTCTCCTTAGCATTGCTGATCTGGTGTCATTAGGACACTGTGCACTGTAGTGCTTACGTTTCCAGCAGCCGTGACACTCATTGAGTTGGGCATTATGGTCCCTGGCAAAATGTTCTCCACAACACTTGAAACAGAGTCTCAACTCCCTTAGTCATTGAACCCTTTGGTTATAGGTGGTGAAGCTCGAGCACCCTGAACTAGCATGTTCTCCTTCACAAAAACGTGCACTGTCTCAAACTGGCCATTTTATTGGCTTCTCCCTTGGCCCTGTGGGTGGATGACTTGTCCTGGGCATAATATGAGCCGACCTTAGTAGGTGTTTTAGCTTTATCTCTCGAGTGTCTGGAGGGGTCGATCGACTTCACCTTGGTGGGCAATTTCTCCCCCTGACCTATGCTTAGGTGAGATACGAGATCTCCCAACCCTTCGACAATTTATTGTATTGTGAACCTGTTCATCCAATATTTTAAGTGTAACTCATGCACTGTAGTGCCAGCCAGTTTCCTCTGAATCACCTGACTGATGAACCATTCTGGCTTACCCCAATCATATAAATCTTTAAGACTATTTGTCAAACTCATAACTTCAATTCGGAACTTCTCTAGGCTCTGAAGATCATGTCGGCAAGCCTTTAGATCCAACAATCGATAAAGTATAGCTACCTTTATCTCCTCATTGTTGCCAAACATGTCCTTTAATTGGTCTTTGTCATGTTGGTAATTAGTGTCAGTGGATTTGTAATGCCAAATCAAGTCCCTTGAGCTGTGAACATAAATACTGTAATTTGACGGCATCTGACAAATCGTCTCTGTCATCCATCTGAGCTTTAAACTGATCCCAGAAAGCAATGTACTTGTTGTGATAGAAACACAGGCCTTATTTCTAAGCTTTATTGAACATAGAATCTTCATAGTACTTCTGCAACAACAAAATATAATGACTAGTACATCTAATAACTGCTTCTACAGGGAGGGTGATGTCTTGCATATGTCAAGAGAAAAGTTATAACTACAGGCCACATATTTAAACTCACCATGTAATCTGCATCACTAATATATGGATATAAGAGAAGAGAATCACACACCATGTGTTGGGGCCCATGACACACATCAAGCTGTTGTTGTTGTTAAGGGCCCCGAGAGGTGGTGCAGTATTATCCTGCTGCTGCTCCCCACAGGAGCAGTACTCTGTTAAGGTTCCATCGAACATTGATAAATGCAACTGGGGCAATCGGGGCAACATATTAACAGGCGTGTGGCTGCTTGTGCTCCCTGAAATATTTGCTGCCCCTGCCATACCGGCCTTCAAAGTCTTTATTAACTGCCTGCAGAGTTTCATCTCTGCTTTACACTCTGCCCTTCGTTCGTCATAGTCCTTCTGAGCTACCTGGATTGTATCATCAAACTCACCTGCAGCATAGGCCTCTGTCTCATAAAGTATAAATGATTTTTCAAAGGCCGCAAGCCTTTCCTCCAAAGGTTTCAGTCAACTCTCTAGTTCCTCATAGTCTACATCCTGATCTTGCCTGGCCATACGACACTCCTCACGTGCTTTGTTTAGGCGTCCCTTATAGGCACCCATAGACCACTTTTATTGACTTACAGCTGAGACAGCTGGTACTCCATCTTCGCCCGCCATAATCGAGGTTTAGTTAAGAGCACGGTACTAATTTGTACTTCAATTAGCCCACCCCACAGCACGAGCGGTATTAGGCAAGAATGAACGAGCCTCAAGGCTCCTCAACAAGCTTAACGACTCCCTTTATTACATTGACTCTACCCTGAATTAAAATGTACGCTGTTAGCTCTCAAACCCAACTGAAATGTAGATCAATGTGAAAGCTTAACCTAGCAATTTCCTGTACAATGTCAGCAAATTACTACAGGACTTAAGCTAGTCTCTGGTACAAATCACAAATCCCACATTAAAATGAGTCAAAGACAATGAAAATCACACAATAAAAATTCGTTATACAAATTAAAAATCACTTGGTTAGCACAAATAAATTCAACAATTCAACTTGCAAAACAGTAAATAAATAATGTGTGTAAACAGCTTGGCTTACTGTGCCCAGCTTATTCATTCTAGCGTGGATGGTTGGATAAGGTAAATCCTAACCTAACTAGTGTGCTATAGCCTAAACCTGGCTTTAGAATTCACTGTAAATAATAACTAGGGTAAATCTGTCCTAGCTACTATAACTGTTGTAAATATTGCACAAGCCTAGCCCTACTGTATCTACCTTGCAAATCCACTGTAAGTAATTAACACACACGTCTCCTACTCTGGTTTACTTGTAATCACTGTAAATAATTAAATTCACAAGCTTCTCTAGCCTACCTGGCCTGCCTGTAAATTACTGTAAATAATAACTTCCGTGTATAGTCAGCTTGGCCTAGCCTCTGTGTAACTCTGGGCCCAGGTGTGCTAACTTAACCTAACTCTGTTAAACTGGTTCCTAACTGTGGCCTAGCTATGTTAACTATTCCACATCACGGTTCAAAGGACCACTTTGTGAAAATTTGTCTAGACTGCCTCCATGTGAGTTGCTTACCCTAGCCAGCTCTGTTGACACCAAGCTCTGAGGTCGGCACCTCAGCCTCACAAGTGGCTTATAGGACAGATTTCCACAAATGACTGACGTTGCAAGAAAATCTCGCCTGCATGCAAGAATGAAGGGCTAACTTATTTGGTGTTGGAGAATCTATTCTGGACTTCAACCTCCCTATGCTTTAGCCCCTCCAGACTATCCCTCAGAACCACGTGCAACCGGGAGCCTTAATTCCTGCAATATTCAATCGTTATTAGTGACCTGTCTGCACCTCAGAAATCCCTGTTTCCAAGGGGGTGTGTATCCCCTAGTATAACTATGCAGAAAGTGACACTAGCTTCTAAAGCTACACCACGAGGTGTCGCCAGCACGTACCGATCATTAGGCCGTCCAGCTGCACAAAGACCCACAGTTCAACTCACTCACAAATTCCCCCCAGAAACTGGCCAGAATACTGAAAGAGAAAAGGTAGGTTTCGTCTTACTGTATGGGCCTGACGGAGGAGGTCATCTACAGTACTTCGAAGTGCCTCCACCAGTTTTCCCCAGGGCCTAGTATGTGTAGACACATGGGGCGCCACCCTGATGTTCACGGCACTTGTTACTCGGTGTCTGGTCTTAGAAGAAAGGGCACTGCAGTCTCAAACCTGTGCCCCAGTATTCAAATTTGGTATGGAAAATTTTATAGGGGTTACCAGCATGTACCTCAACATTACATTCATACAAGTAATCTCATTGGGAGACAACAACCATATTGTTTATCGTAGTTACCCCATGTAGACATGTGAGAAAACCTATCCACCCCTGGTCACTGCAGGTGGTTTGTTCGACCTCACAATCTTACCCATATCTACCTGAGACCAGTATGAATTGGATAGCACCCGCAAGTACGGCGCTACTAATTAATTGTGGACTGTATACATTATATTAGTTTAACTGAATGAAGAGGGGAGGGGTAGGTTACACATGGATATATCCATCAAGGAAAAACACTTATATATAATACCACCACTTACCAGATATTCTCTGGTGGTCACTTAATGTAGCTGGATCACCCACAGCCTATACAATTACAACATACCTAACTGGCCAGTATCAGTCTGCTATAACTAGAAGGGTTACTAATTGTGGGTGATTGATGCTCCTTATTTCCTCCATTCACCATCTCATTTTGATGTCCTGCTACACCGACACAGTTCTTATTCCAGCAGGACGAGGTATCCGTTGGTTTGTCCCGGTTTAGAAGTCGTGACTCCATAAAAACTTCACTATCCTCGGGACAGGAACCAAGAGGTCTACACGTGTTCACTTGGAACAAGGCGACTTATTTCACTTCACGCATTCTCTTAACTTAGTGTTATTATCACTGATTACATTACAATTCACAAGACAATTTAATGTCTCATAATTATTATGCACATTAGAGGTCCCTCCATTAAGATCTGAGACCGATGAGTTATGATTAAATCACGGGTATTTTCCCCTGGACACACTCCATGGCGTTGCACCAGCCACCACCGGTCCTACCATTATTCACTAATTTTACCACTTATTACAGCAGTCTCGTAAATCACGTTCCCTCACTCTTCACCAAGAAGTTAGGCCGCCATGAATGCCAATTTCTTGGTCCCATGTTTTCCCGGCCTCTTAACTCCATTCCAAACACTCTCTCTCCCCGATGCCCCGTCTCGACCTCACCCTCTGCACATCAGCGCAGGCACAGAGGGAACCCTGTTGGTTCTATTCCATTTTCAAATACATTTTTTGACCCGTATCAACACATTAAGCACCTATTAGGCACTATAGCTTCGGAAGATTAAAATATATTCACAATTGGGCTGCCAGTTCTCCCTGGCTAATATAACCTAGGGTATGCTTACATTATCAGCCCATTACTACCTACGTTAAGGTCTTAGGTCTATATTATTATTATCTACAGTTGCCTCAATAATCCTAATATTAGTGTACTAACAGTATAAACTACCTACTTCTTCCTTGAAGGGTAAATCTATCAATTAAAATGTACCTTCCAACCACCATCGCCAACCCGGGTGTGTGTGTGTGTTTTGGGTGGGTGTAAGGGTCACCCAACCCAGCCGTTCCATCCGTGACTGGATGGGATCTTTGTACGAGGTATCTGCCCTGTGGAACTTTAGGACCAGATAAATTTCCACATCCCTGATATTTCCATTAGATATCCTTGATATTTCCATTGGAGATCCTTGATATTTCCATTGATGATCCTTGATATTTCCATTGGAGATCCTTGATATTTCCATTGGAGCTCCTTGATATTTCCATTGGAGATCCTTGATATTTCCATTGGGGATCCTTGATATTTCCATTGTGGTCCTTGATTTTTCCATTGGAAGTTCATGAGAGTACTCTCAACTACCAGGCTGACGCAAAATTGCTAAGATCAAAGAAACTGTTCTGACCATACCTAATGAACACCGTTCATATTGCTGCTACAGTAAATAAACTTAATGACTTCTCAAATATGGGTTTTAATCTTGCCAGGAAAATCTCAAGGTATATTGCTCAAGTTAGTGATTACCAGTGGCAGTTATCAAGGCTCCCTTTACTTGTGTTCAATATATTGTACAGAGGTAACGTCAATAAAAAATATACTAAGCATTTAAGAAAGTCAATATACCATCATTCCTGGATAAACAGCTGCCCATGAGCCATCACCCGTCACTGCAACCTTCTTTAATAAATCTCGAGAAACCAAAATTTTCTCTAATATACTCAAACTTGCTCATGTTTCCCCGATTCACAAAAATGACCTAACTAAAATTAACAATTATAGACTAATTTTTAACTTTTCATTTTTGAAAAATTTAGTATATAAACAAATATATGCGTATATTAATCAACATAATATTCTTAACTCTTGCCAGTTTGGTTTCTGATCAGGAAATAATACTTATGAAACTGTCATAAAGATGCTAGAGTCGGTCTATTCAGCTCTAGAAAATAATGAATATCCAATGGATCTCTTTATTGATCTAAGACAAGCATTTGACACTGTAAATCACATGTTACTGTTGATATTAGAGCATTATAGAAGCAGCAGGGAGGAGAGTGATTTCCTTGTATATCTAACATACGTGTACTATGATCTGATCTGTCTTAGATGCTAATGTAAATAACTGAATTTACCTTACCCCTAGTATATCTCCTTATATTGTAACTACTTTTCACATAGTTAAATTACTTACCTGTTTTAACTGTTAAATTTAAATAATAATAATTTAAATAATAATTATCACCCCTTGGAGGGGTTAGACCTGGGGATGATCATGTCAGAGGATCTCACCTTCAAGGATCATAACATTGTATCAATCGCATCTGCTAGAAAAATGACAGGATGGATAATGAGAACCTTCAAAACCAGGGATGCAAAGCCCATGATGACACTCTTCAGGTCGCTTGTTCTATCTAGGCTGGAATATTGCTGCATACTAATAGCACCTTTCAAGGCAGGTAAAATTGCTAACCTAGAAAATGTACAGAGAACCCTCATGGCAAACATAACTGCGATAAAACAGTTACTGGAAATGCTTGAAGTTCCTAAACCTGCACTCCCTAGAACGCAGGAGGGAGAGATACATGATTATATACACCTGGAAAATCCTAGAGGGATTAGTACCAAACTTGCACACAAAAATCACTCCCTACGAAAACAATACTCGGTATACGATGCAACATCCTCCCAATGAAAAGCATGGGTGCCACTAGCACGATAAGAGACAACATAATAAGTGTCAGGAGCCCAAGATTGTTCAACTGCCTCCCAGCATACATAAGGGGGATTACCAGTAGACCCCAGGCTGTCTTCAAGGAGGCAATGGACAGGCACCTGACCAGCCGAGCTGTGGGTCGTACTTTGGATTGTGCACAGCCAGCAGCAACAGCCTGGTTGATTAGGCCCTGCTCCACCATGTGGCCTGGTCACAGACTGGGTCGCGGGGGCGTTGACCCCCGGAACTCTCTCCAGGTATCTTCAGGCTTCATTTGTTATTGCCCTTCAGGAATGCAGCTTCAGGACGACCGTCGCACCTGTGTTGCCAAGGAACCCGACCAAGTGATGGAGTTCCCAGGGAAAACCGGCTAGTGTCCGGACACCTGTACGTGTTGTGAGACACCCAGGTGTGTGCTATGGGACACCCAGGTATGTGCTGTGGGACACCCCGGTGTGTGCCATGGGACAACCAGGTGTGTGCTGTGGGATGCCTAGGTGTGTGCCGTGGGACACCCCAGTGTGTGTCGTGGGACACCCAGGTGTGTACCGTGGGGCACCCAGGTGTGTGCCATAGGACACCCCAGTGTGTGCCGTGGGACACCCAGGTGTGTGCCGTGGGACACCCCAGTGTGTGCTGTGGGACACCCAGGTGTGTTCTGTGGGACACGTAATGCTTGGAGGGTTCTAGTAGATAATGTTGGTGTAGAAATACACAAGAGTATGGCTGGTAACACTTGTATTTGCAAAGCCGTGAGGGGAGCCCTTGGCTAGCCTGTTTGCCTGTAGGTCTATCCGGGAACTGAGGGAGAGGCAGAGCGTCTGACGCTCACATGTGGCATCATGCGACGTCACATATTAGCCGCTAAGTCTAGCAAGGGGTCGTCTATATAAAATATAAGGATGGTACTAACTATGATACTCAGATATGCCACACGACATATGTAGGAGATCAGCAACCATGCTATATAGACGACCCCTTGCTAGACTTAACGGCTAGTATGTGACGTCACATGATGCCACATGTGAGCGTGAGACGCTCTGCCTCTCCCTCAGTTCCCGGATAGACCTACAGGCGGCTACAGGCAGGCTGGGCCAATCCCCTCACAGGGACACCCAGGTGTCTGCTGTGGGACACCCAGCAGTGTGTCGTCATAACACAAGCTGTTGTTTACTAATTATATGCAGAGCTTTTAATCCTGACAAAGGTCATTAATAAAGTATGAGTTAAACTGCAAAGTTTTTGTTTTTTATTTACTGCTTCTCAACAAATAACTTTAAACTCTACTTCCTAGGTCGCCTAGGTACTTCCTATGTCACCTAGGTACTTCCTAGGTTGCCTAAGTACTTCCTAGGTCGCCTAGCCTAGCTGCTTGCTAGGTCGTCTAGCTATTTCCTAGGTTGCTTAGCTACTTCCTAGGTCGCTCCGAATCGACCCCTGCAACCACAAATCGGTGAGTACAAGACAGATCCAAGAGTTCGTCTAGGTGGACAGTGTTGTGAAGGTGGACAGTGTTGTGAAGGTGGACAGTGTTGTGAAGGTGGACAGTGTTGTGAAGGTGGACAGTGTTGTGAAGGTGGACAGTGTTGTGAAGGTGGACAGTGTTGTGAAGGTGGACAGTGTTGTGAAGGTGGACAGTGTTGTGAAGGTGGACAGTGTTGTGAAGGTGGACAGTGTTGTGAAGGTGGACAGTGTTGTGAAGGTGGACAGTGTTGTCAAGATGGACAGTGTTGCCAGTGCGGACAACACTAAGCAATGAACACCACAACACTAAGCTAGGAACACCACAACACTAAGCTAGGAACACAACACTAAGCTAGCAACACAACACTAAGCTAGGAACACAACACTAAGCTAGGAACACCACTAAGCTAGGAACACCACTAAGCTAGGAACACCACTAAGCTAGGAACACGCCCAGGACACATTTTTCCATATATGGTGCACTCCTGCCATATATGACGCACTCCTGCCATATATGACGCTTGTAATGTCTACAGGAAGTTTTATGGCAATGCGGTACTACTGTGGTAGTGTAGTGGTAATTGTTTGAGTTGTGGTGCAATGGTGCTACTGTGGAAGTGTAGTGGTAACTGTTTGAGTTGTGGTGCAATGGTGCTATTGTGGAAGGGGCCGAGGCTTTAAGGTAGTATCTGCGTTACCTTGGTCATTGACATCGTCACTCCTCTGAAAATGAGAAAAATGGGGTTTTAATGAAGTGAAAGATGAGGGAATAGGTACTCAGGCCAGCGAAAGTAAGACAAGGGAGGTGGTGTGTACTCACAACAGAAGAGGATAA